AAGATACAACTAGCGTCTGACAGATCCTTTTAATTTTTTCTTCGATATGCCACTATATGTGCATATATGCCAATTGGCTTTATAAATGCCAAATTTACTATAATGACATGAATATATGCATAATTTTTTTCTCCTTTGTTGAAAATAAACTTCTCCGATAGAAACTCGAAGGAAATTTATAATCTTAAAAAATAAATAAGTACGTAAATACAACTAAAGATTTTAAGTTTGAAAATTTGAATTCAGCTCCCACGCTTTTGTATTTTTGAAAGATAAGTTAATTTGATAATTAGAACTTTCAATTTCTTTATTTATGAAATCTTTTTCATTTCTGTTAAAAATTAAGTACATCCTATCTATATATATTTGCAAAAATTGACTTAATTAAAATTTTATTAATTTTTAATTTCACGATTATGTTTCTGGTTAAAATATATTCCCTGCTTCTCTTTTCAGAGGAATCTTACTTTTGTATTATAAAAATTAAGTCAATCTTGTACATTCAATAAATTTTCGTTTCAGTTAATGATGATGATTTTGAGTCTTTCATCGGTTCTACGAATCGAATATTACAGTCAAAAATGTTTTTGCGAAAGAGCTCGCAAAAAAGTTGAAGAGGAAACCAAATTTTACGCATCATCAATCATATATTTCAAGCCTGATCAAATATAATCTGTATACTTTTTCTTTCAGAATTTTGAACATCAGCAAATTATATTTATCGAAATGATAAATGGATGAATGCCATCAATCTTCAGATTATAATTGAGAAATATTTATAATCAATTGATATAAAAAAATTTTTCTTTGAATGCTAAGTAAATTCTTTTCTTTAAAAAGAGTACAATAGTTACAATGGAAATCATAGCACTACGCCGTAATAACATTAGAATGTAGTGATAGTCGTATCAGAATTATTGAAATAGTACGTCGAACCGATAGTCGTTTAGTAGTAGTGCCACTAATGGATAAGAATTACGCGGAAGATTTATTAAAATTTCACAGACTCTGCAACTGGATAACAGTAATCAGCGAAACTTGCGTCAAGACGATGGTTATTTGGCTGTCATATTCTAAACAGATAACGTTAGACTCAATGGAATCACGCCTAAATGATGTCTTTTTGTTTACGACACTATGAACAGATGGTACGTATAAAATTAAAATGACAAAACTGTTACAATAAGGTCTTCCTTGGAAGTGTACACAACAGTATAATCAAGTAGAATTTATGCTGAAAACATACACGTTTGATGTACTAAGATTTTAAATATATTATTTTAAGAAATTATTTAAGAATTTTTATTGCGGATTTTTATGTATTTATGATAAATTGAAACATGCAGAAATATATAAAATATCTAAAGTAGAATATTTATTATAATATATACTAGGAAAATTAAATGTCTTTTACGTTCTTTTTTTTTTAATTATATTTATAAAAATTCAAAAATGCATAAAAATCCATAGTCTAATGTCATAATTAATAAAAAACGTATTAAAACAAAAATTTTTTTATTTGATAGCATGTTGTATACGAAGTAAAACGTTACACAGAAGCCAGCCACTTCGTTAAGATTAAAATCGATAAAAATAAAATATGTAATAATAATAAATAAAACTAGAATACTCTCACTCACGTATGAATATCATGAATATCGTGTAAGAGAAGTTTAAGAACGGAAGGAGGAAAGATCGATCGATCATTGGTCAGTGAACAAAAAGACCGGCTCTGATACACAAGGACGGTCATCGGCACAGACGTTATTCCTCAGTGACCCAGTTTATGTTCGTTTCATGACGCACATCCCGATTCATCGACGTTCTTTTTTCTTTTTCCTCATTCAATTCCCTTTTTTTCACCCCTTACATTTCCTTCTACGAGTCCTTGATAGTTCACTAGCATTTTGCTAGATGACGTCAATAACAGCTATGATTTCTGCGTAAATTTAAGCAGAAATTAATGCCACTGAATATCTTAACAGATTCATTAATAATTTATTACTCACAGATACTCACATTTACTGCTACAGATTCACTTCATTTATACTCGGTAAGAATTCGAAGAGAAATTAATATAACTTTGTTAT